AAATATAATACCATTTACACTTGCCCACGTGGAAGGGGGGGGCAGGGGGGAGGGGAAGCACCAACAAAACGTAAAGAAAGAAGGAAAGCTAGCAAACAAAACATATATAGGACTTGTATGATAAAAACTACAAAATGATAGATCAAAGATCGAAATAAATGGAGAGACATTCTTTGTTCATAGACTGAAAGACTCAACATAATAAAGAAAAGAGTTCCCCCCAAATTGATAGACAGGTTGAACATAATTCCTATCAAAATCCCAACAAGAATTTTTTTGCAGATATAGACAAGACTATTCTAAAATATATATGGAAAGGCAAAATAACCAGAATAGCTAAACAGCGATTTTGAGAGGAAAGAATAAAGTTGGAGGAGTCAGTCCACCAGAGTCCCAGAAATGGCTCCACAAATATGCCAGCTGATGTCTGACAAACTGCAAAGGCAATTCAATGGAGGAAAGACAGCCTTCCTGACAAGTGGTACTGGAGAAAAAGGACATGCATGGGGAAAAAGAAATCTCCATCGAAGTCTCACACATTATACAAAAATTAACCCAAAACGGATCACAGACTTAAACGTAAATCATAAAACTAACATTTTTTTAGAAAAAAAACATAAAAGAAGGTTCTCAGGATCTACAGCAAAGCGTTCTTAGACCTGACACCAAAAGCACAAGCCGTAACAGAGAAAACTGATAAATGGGACCTCATCAAAATTAAAAACATTTATTCTGCCAAAGACCTAATAAGATGAAAAGACAAACCACAGACTGGGAGAAAAGACTTGCAACCACATACCGACAAAGGACCAGTATCTAAAATATATCAAGAACTCTTAACACTCAACAGTAAAAACAAACAAAAAAACTAATTAGAAAATGGACAAAAGAAGAGACATTTCACCAAAAAGGATATGCAGATGGCAAATAAACACAAAAAGGTATTCAACATTATTAGCTATGGAGGAAACACAAATTAAAACCACAAGATATCACTACACACCTATCCGGATGGCTGAAATACGAAATGATGCCACCACCAAATGTCGGTGAGGATGTGGAGAAACTAGACCACTCATACACTGTTCTTGAGATTTAAAATTGTACAGCCGCTGTGGAAAAGAATTTCTTGTGAATATAAATATGCAACTACCATACAACCCAGCACACAAAAGGATTTACCCCTGAGAAAGGAAAACTTACGTTCCCACAAAAACCTGCAGACAAATGTTTGTGGCAGCTTTATTCATAATAGCGCCAAACTGGGAACAAACTAGTGATACATCCAACAACCTGGATGAATCTCCAGGGAATTACGCTGAGTGGAAAAAAGCCAGTCTCAAAGGCTATATACGGTATGACTCCATTTATATAACATTCCTGAAATGACAAGATTACAGAAAGGAGAAGAGATTAGTGGCTCCTAGGGGTTAAGAGGGAGGCAGGGGTGGGAGGGAGGTGACTGGGGCTCTAAAAAGGCAATATGAGGGATCTTTATGGTCGTGGAAGGGCTCTACGTGTTGACAGCATCAGTGCCAACAGCCTGGATATGATACTGTTTAATAGTTTTGCAAGATGTTACCATTGGGGGAAACTGGGTAAAGGGTACACAGGATACCTCTGTATTATTTCAAAATAAAAAGTTTAATTTGAAAATGGGATGATCTGAGAAGACTCAAGGCATTAATTAGCACGGAATACTTTCGGCATTATCACGTAAAATTTTTTAACTACCTTGGCAATTATAAGTAGAAGGTGGGCAGGAGAAACGAAGGGAGGAATATCCCTGATGGGAGGCAGGGAGGGAAGCAGGAAGGAATATCCCTGCTGTCAGTGAACCGCCACACCTTTCTCTACGTCTGGTAAATTCACACGTGGAAAGGCACTGAGCAGGGGCCCATGGGCCTGTTAGTCTTGCCAGGGCCCTGAGGTCACACCCTTTAACCTCCAGAATCAACGCTAGCTGGAGTCAGTACAGGAAGCTGTTGTACATGACTCTTAAGCCCACGTGCAGACGTAGGGAAGCCCGGCCGGGGCAGACCTGAGAAGAGCCAGAAGAGAAAATGGGCAGCTGCGGGCCCGCGGCTGACCCTGTAACGGTCCCCACCCTCGGGCAGTGAGGCAGCCTGCTCTGGCTCAAGTTCACCCACAAGTCACCAGGAATGGGGAGGCCAATGGAGAAACGGAAAGTAAGACAGAAAGAAGGCGCTCAGGGAAAGACTGGTGCTTGAGGTGCCCTTAGATCTTCTTACAAAATTGAGAAGTTGAACTAAGTGTTGTAAGTGCCCTTGTCAGAGAGGAAACAGTTTATACAGGTGGACTTTTTCCCCACGCTTAAATTTAAGTTCACAAACTGTAAACCGGCCAGCGGTCGTGTGAACAGCAAACTGGAGAAGACGAAATGAAGAATTTTTCTCTTTTCTCTCCCGTCCTTCCTGTCTTCAGCCCCAGCCTCCCATCGCCATGGGTACCTGATGCCGCGCCAGGGGCCAACCACAGGTGGGGACCACCCGAGCTCCCGCTACACTTGAGGCTAGGACAGCAGGAGCTGCACAGATGCCACTGGCCTCCTGGGCTGCAGGAGAGACTCAAGGACGGTGTTAAGGAGGCTGAAGAAGGGGCAGCCGCTCCGCACCCAGAGGCACAGGCTGGGTGGCTGGGTGAGAGACCAGGCTGCCCCTGGGTGCGCAGAGCCCCCGGCTGAGCCTGAGAAGAGTGGCAAGTTGTGGAGGGGATACCGTGGTGAAGGGCAGGGGTTTGGATGAAAGCAGGGGCACTAGGAGCGGGAGAGGTGCCACGGGGTGTGCTGGCGCTGCCAGCCAGGCAGTGGCTGGCTCAGGCGGCAGCTGAAGCTCACTCTACAGGAATGCTCTTCTCAGGTGGGCTGAGTGGACCCTAGCTCAGCAGAGTCAGAGGAAGGAACCAGAACGGGGTGACTGTCCGGCCTAATATTACCTGGCCCTAGAGTTAACATATATTCTGTCCCGACTCATCCCTCAGTGCTCCAGGGGAAACGGGGGAGCTGCGCTACACACCTGTCCCAGCAAAATACGAAGAGTCAAGGCAAACCAACCACCCACACAAGAAGAG